GGGGAGAGGTGGGGGGATGGAGACGGTTAAAGAAGGTCGAAGATAGAGGGATAGTGGGAGAGTGAAGTGGGTAAAGGGGATCAAATATACGGTAGCTGAAGGAAACTGGACTTTGGGTGGTAATCACACAATAAAATATACAGATGTCAAATTATAATGTACACCTGAAAATTATATAATTGTATTAACCAGTGTTATCCCAATAAACTTAAAAAAATAAAAAATAAAATAATTAACTACATACATTAGTTTATTAGATATAATGACATTACACACTTAATAGACTACAGTATAGTGTAAATATGACATTATATGACCTGGGAAACCAAAAAATTCACGTGACTCGCTTTATCGTGATATTTGCTAGAGCTGAACCCACAATATTTCCTAGGTATGCTTGTAGTCAGATGAAGCAGACTGGATGAAAATATTATTGTAAGAAAACAATGATTTTTATCTCATGGAATATTTATCACTGACCCAGTTCTTTCTTTCTCTCCCTGATTTGATAGGCTAGAAAGTTATTATTTGGAAATTAGAGTTCAGACACGAAAAAGAAAGCATGACAACTTAGACCACAAAATCCTTATACTCCTGTGCCTCAGGGCCGCTTCCAGCCAATGTTTAGCATAGATGGACACACACCCTGAGATAATAATATGCCAGAAGTGTGCTTTCCAGTGGAACCATAACAGTCAATCCTGAGTCCTGCTGACACTGAGGAACAGGTTAAAAGCTGCAGACTGCGGGACAGTTCACTGACATCTCCAATGGCTTGATAATGCATTTTCTCATGATTATAAATTACATAAACATGTCAGCAGTGCTTTCCTGCAAAATAACTTAAAATCTCCATTCCCCAGTCAGGAGGAAGTGTTTCCTGACCAGCCACTCTAGAGGCTGCCCTCCCTTCTGTCATTTCAAAGCTCCACTGGGGAGTAAAGGAGCGTGATCGCTCAATCCCTGAGCATGGGTTCCCTCAACTGATGACCCAACACATGGCCAACAAGGTATGAAAGGGGTTATTGCTTCCATAACTGAGTCTCTGGGAAGCGTAAGGCAGGCCTTTCAAGCAGGCATAAAATAGTTTGAGAGAGCTGGGGTGAGAATTAACTCACAAGGGTAGGAGCGTGCATGGATTCAATTTCTTGCTTCTCCAAAGGATGGAGACTAATGCTTTCTTATCACTTTGCACAGATGTGGGGGACAAGGAGAAGAAAAACGATGAGGCTTTAAAGCTGTCAGCTGTCAATCGTGAAAAAATGGACTCAAAGACTTCTAGTTTCTGGGCTGGCATTTAAATACCTTAGTTGTTATCATTAACCTCACTAGAAAATACTTTTAAAAATTGAAATAAACTTCTCTTTGTAGATTCAACAGAGTATTTAGGTCACAGGATAACCCAGGGTCTCCAAAATTAACAAAGAGAAAACAAACATGGCATTTTGAAATACTCCCGATATTCTGTTCTTAACATGGTCTGTACACACACCGAAAAAATCTATTTCAACAGAGTCTCATGCAAAAACAAAAAGGCATAAAAAAGAACACAATATCCATGAACTCTGGGAAAACCTTCTTTAAACAGAAAGTTCAAATACACACCATGGGACCATTGAAGGAAGAGAAAGAAAAGACGAGAAGAAATCGGTGAAGTAACAATTCCTGAGATTTGCCTAAAATTAATGATAGACAGCACACTGTAGATCAAGGAAGCTCAGAGAACACTAAATACTATAATAAAAGTGTATACCCAACTATCTCATATTCACACTATGAAGATTAAAGATGAAGATTAAAGACAAATATACTTAAAGAATCCAGAAGGGAAAACACTTTAGTTATTAAGAAACAAAGATTAGAATTAAATCAGACTTCTTTTCAGAAACCATGCAAACAAGAAAAGAGTGAAATGTTTAAAGTTTAAAAGAAAACTGACACTCTCTTAGAATTCTATGTCAAACAAAATCCTTCAAAAATAAAGAAGAAATAAGTACTTTTGAAACAAAAATTGAGTGAATTTGTCATTAGTATGCCTACTTGGAAGAAATGTTCAAAATCCATCAGAAAGAATGTAAAGGGTAAAGGTGAGGAACTAAAAAATCTACATAAAATATGTTTTTTCATTTCTTATATTTAACATAATAGATGACTGTTGAAAGTAATATAAACTGAAGTCCACTTCCTTCCTGAAACCAAGAAGAAATAGCTATAGTCCCTCTCGGCACCCACAGCATCGTCTAGATTCTTTTTGTATTTGGGATGCAACATATTCCTTGTTTACAAATTTTACTTGAACATATTTATGCTGCTACTCGCAAGCTGCCCCATCTTCAATGGGTACTCCTACCATCGAAGGCTCTAGACTGTTTAAATCACCATAAAACAGGCACAACTGGTGGTGTCCTCAGAGACTCCTTCACCATAGAAGCTTCACTGACCACTTCTCATGCCTCTTGGAGTCATTGCCACTTTATTTGGCAATTATGAGCTTATGGACAAGTGAAATTCCTGACAATAATGTGACAGGAACAGAGAAGGGGGAACTGGGATTAGTGTGGTATGAGGTACTTGCACAACCAGTGAAGTGGTGTAGTGTGACTTCACATAGGAGATGACTTAGTTGTAAATGTGTACTGGAAACTCAAGGGCAACAATCAAAATAGTTTAAAAATATGTGTCACTGATATCCTAAGAGGGGAGAAAAAAAAGAATCAGGTAAAATGCTCAATTAAAGCCAAAGAAGGCAGAAAAAGGTAGAAGACAAAAATAAACAAAGAACAAAGGCAACATACAAACAGTAAAAGGTGTGGTAGATATTAATCCAACTGAATCCATCACCACTTTCATCATCAATGGCCTCAGTGCAATTGAAAGATACAGTAACATCGGATTTCCAAAAACAATTAGATGTTGTCTTACAAGAAAGATACTTTAAACATAAAGACAGAGACTGATGAAAGGTAAAAAGATAGGGAAAAAAATGTACCAGGCCAACACCAATGAAAAGAAAGCTGCCACAGGTATATGAATTTCAGACAATCAGGAAGGAGAGTTGAACTAAACCGCACCATATAATAAATGAATTTCACTGTAATCTATATGATGCTTCTTGCAACAGCCAAATTCACATTCTTCTTAAGTTCACGTGGGACATTCACCAAGGCAGAATACATTCTGGGGCATAAAACACACTAACAGATTTGAAAGAATAGAAATCATATAAAATATGGTTTCATACCACTAAGGCATTAATCTGGAAATGAATAACAGGGAGATAGTTAATAAAAACCCCAAAATGTGAAAATTCAACAACACACTTGTAAATAATGAAATGAAAATAAAACATAAAAGGTTGTGGGAGGAAGCAAAAGCAATGCTTAAAGAGAAATTTATGCCACTGAACAAATATTCTAGAAAAAAGATGTATTATCAATAATACAAACATCTAATTTAGGAAACAATAAAAGAGCAAATCAAACCCAAAGTAAGCAGATTAAAACAATAGTAATTAGAAAAGAAATTAACTGCAAAATCAATGAAGAAAACATAAGCCAAAAAAACCTAGTTGACGAGATTAATAAAACTGGTAAAGATCTAGGTAACATAACTAAGAGGGACACAGAAATTACAAAGCCATCATGGGTGACTCCAAGAGGCATTAGAAGTGGTCAGTGAAGCTTCTATGGTGAAGGGGTCTCTGAGGACACCACCAGTTGTGCCTGTTTTATGGTGATTTAAACAGTCTAGAGCCTTCGATGGTAGGGGTGCCCATTGAAGATGGGGCAGCTTGCAAGTAGCAGCATAAATATGTTCAAGTAAAATTTGTAAACAAGGAATATGTCGCATCCCAAATACAAAAAGAATCTAGACGATGCTGTGGGTGCCGAGAGGGACTATAGCTATTTCTTCTTGGTTTCAGGAAGGAAGTGGACTTCAGTTTATTAAACAATTTTTTAATGTATCCAAGGCATCAGGGCCTCATAATATGTCTGGGGCAATGGTTCAGCCACTTTTTGCCAGACTCTTTTTCTTATATATGTATGTCCATAATGTCCACAAAGGAGAATGTCATGAATGTCATGTCACGCCTGTTCTCCTGAGCAAGGTTAATGCAGCTCAGATCTTCCCTGCAGAGACTTTGTGCGGTGCTGAGCTTCCCTGAGGGGAACCAAGTAAAGGTGTATCATCCCTACAGAGGTGAGGCCAACTGCAGCTGAGAGACTGTCGACATAGGCACTGAATGAAATAGACTTAACCAAATCTGTGATAGCAGAATGTGTACCAGTTGCTAAGTGGATGGAGTCGGTAATTCCCATAATATTGGGAATCGGGTGTAGGGTTTTATTTGGTGCCACCACAACCTTCAGATTGCAGCAATCTACTGTGAGGTGTCAATCATTCTTTCCAGGTTTAAGGATAGGACAGATTCAGCTGTTCAAAGGACAAGCACTGGGGATAATCACTTCTCCCTAAAAGGGTTCATATAACAATTTTCAACCCTTCGGGGTCCTCTTTAATTTACACTACACCATATTAACTAATTTAAGTGAGGGGTATGGACCATGGAGTCCCATTTTGTGAAGCCAATTTGGAAGACTTAATTTAACTGAATTTTAATTTATCGGTGATTGGTTCAGAGCTTTCCTGGTCACTATGGGTTATTTTAGGAGAATGGGTGCTATGACACCTGAGCTGCCCCAGGAATGAACTCTGGGAGCCCAACCCCATCCCCAAGCATGGAAGTGCTCCCTTGCTCAAGCTTCCATTCTCACAGTGAGGAAACTCAGCCTGATTCAGTTTGAGTTCTGACTCTAACAAACTCTCCAATTCCTAACTCTTTGTCCACAAGACAGAACCTCTGAACTTCACAGACTTTCTCAATGTGTGCAAACACACTCTGAGCACACTTGCACTGTGGATGGAAAACTCAAATAAAATATCTAAAACATTGAGGCCTAAGGAAACCACAACCTCAGAAAGGGCAGCATCACCCTCCCCCAGGTACACTTGCACCCCCAGCTCTCCAGCGCTGCAGCTTCTCATCCAAGGCTTCTCCATGGAGGGTGTGAGCAGGAAAGACACCTTGCAGGAGAAGGGGAGGCTCCCTAGGGAGAACCACTAGGCCTTCAAGCACTTCCCTTTGCAGGTCAAGAGGGCCTTGGGTTGGGCCATTGACATCAGGCCTCTGATTTGGACCACTACTGATATTGAAGAGGAAATTTGGGGAATTTCATTAAAAACTAATCAGCTTTCTGATTCTGTAAATATGCTTGCTTTCTGCAAATAAGCTCACTGCATGCAAGGGCTCCTGCGAAAGCTCCCTTGCACTCTGCTCCACTTGCAAATTTAACTGCTTGTACCCCAGCAGCTTGGCTTTCTGTAACAATTTGTATCTGTCGCCAACTGGAGACAACTCCCTGCCTTACCAATGTTACTACTTATAGTCTCCATAGCAACCCCATCATTTGTGAAGGTCTGAGTTCAAACTGACCAATTAGCTTGTGTAAAAATTCTATAATAGAAACAATATTTCAACTGAGCCCACTGCCTAGATTTTCAGAGTAATAAATTTTGAATTCTCTTTCTCTCCCAGTTACTGTTCGGTTTTTCGTTGGACTGGGTTTTGGAGCTCTTGGGATACTTTTCCACAACAATATTTTAAATGACATGAACTCAGTGTTTGAAGAATCCACCAAAATCACATAAACTCAGCATTTATGTGGAAAGGAAGCAAAATGTAAGAGTTTTTCACTAGTTTAACCAAAAAACTCCAAATATCTATTCCTTTAAGGGGGAAAAAAAAAGCTGTCAGTTACTTATCATTTCCAAAGACGGAAATTGGTTTGTAAATAATTAATCTACTTGAACAATTCTGTTCTGCTAGGCTAAGTCCTGGAATTCCATTTTAAAACACCCAAAAGTAAAGCAAAGCTCAGAAATTTACTACACATGCTCAGGGGAAAAAAGAAGGATTCTATGAGAAATGGTATGTAATACCAAGGTATTTTTTTTTCCTGAAATTCACCTCTTTT